AATTGGGAGCAAACTAGGAGCCCTAGTTCAGGGAATAGAGGGGAAGACAATTAACAAAGGAAACATACTCGGTGGCAGATAAAATAGATGTATGGGGCCGATTAAAACTACAACGCTTGTGTACATTGAAAAGCTGTTTTAAAAGAGAGCCCACAGACTGGGAAAATACATGTATGAATGACATAACAGACAAAGGACTATTTACTATGATCTACAGAATTTTACAAGCTTACAACAAGCAGCAAAACAGGCACAAACTCAGGCTTGTTAGGAACCAGACAACCTTGCAAAGAGCTGGACCAGTGCCAATGAACCACACATCACCCACTCCAGGTATGTATAGTGTAGGTCACTTGGCCAGAAGGCACCTCACAACAGCTGGGATCAAATGGACAGGAGACTGGTGTGTGTGTGTGTGTGTGTGTGTGTGTGTGTGTGTGTGTTTGCTTTCTACTGAGTGGTAGCCATGTGGATGTGTGTGTGTGTGTGTGTGTGTGTTTGCTTTCTACTGAGTGGTAGCCATGTGGATCTGGGGAGATATGGCCCTGCACAGTGAGGCAGCCCTGTCAGGTGAGGCTTCCTGATGGGAGGGGCAGTGCAGGAGAGGGAAGAGGGAATAGTCAATTTTGGGTGAACATAGTTGCATGTCTGTTGGGAGGAGAGGAGGGAAGGCTGACCACCAGGTGGGGGGAGGAGACACTGAGCATGCCCTTGGCATCATTAGGGAGGGAGGATCATTAGTGACTTGCAGGAGAAAAAAAACTGACCTGTGACTTCTGGGGGTAAACTGGGAACCCAGCAGGGTATCACAGAACACTGAGGCACTGAATCCTGACCTTCAGGGTATGTATACATCGTGCTCCAGAGGCTCCAGCAGTGAGACCCCAAATAGAAATTCCACGGGAGGAACTGGGCTTTACCCAAGACACACTTGTAACTGAAGAATGTAAGTCAGAAAACACATGGTGTCTGAGGATGAAGACAGCTGTACCAAGGGTGGTGTATTGTTGGTCAGCAAACAAACAAGGTCTTGGTACATCAACACCCAGCATGCTGTAATAAGACACGTATTATCCCGGCAACCCTGTGAGACCCATTCTGTTAGAGTCTGCTTATGCTCCTTTACATTAAAGTGCATGTCAGAGGTGCATCACCATCGGGGTTCATCCTGTATTATGTGTCTTATTATTTTTTGGAAAATGAAGCCCAGGGATGTTGAGCCTACAGGGAAAGAAAATATATCAAGGGTTTAGATGAAGGAAGTTATAGAGGGTGGGGGAGATGATGTCAAGAAGTCCAGGAAGGAAAAGTGTGTTTTGGAAAACATATACGAGTATGCAAGAAATTGTACAATTAGGCTTGACATGATTGAATTGGCTCGCAAACTATAGCAAATTAATTAAACACAAAATCAATAAATAAAATAAAGGCATAGATCCAGGAATAGGTTGGGGGCTAGCACTAAATCCTAGCCCAAACGTAAGAACTATCAGTTCTTACATCATGACCCAGCTCAATACTCACCTTCATTAAATGATTACTGAAGATAAGGGGCTACAGCAAAGTTTAGTGAAGAAGCCAGATGGTGCCGGCTATCAATTGAAATAGTGCCTGGGGTCTTAAAGGCTTGTACACAAACAAGCAGCTGTCTAAGCAAATAGTCAATAAGTCCACACGGAAGAAGCACACAAACTTGTGTGATCCAAGGATGACAATAACACAACTCGAATATGGTGAGAAGAGCATCAGAACAAAAATGATGAACACCTAATTTGTGGAGGGCTATGGGGGAGAGTGAGAGCTCAAAACCCATCTGCAGTGTATCTGGTCAGACTGAGCCACTGGCAGATCCACTCTAGCCTCAGGCAAGAGTCTCCATCAGCCTTACTGCTAGAAAGAATCCACTGTAATCCTGATTATGCTGGATCAAACTGGACATGGGCTGCTTGACCACCCTACAGATGCACCCAGAATTTGTTCTGGGTGCGAGTATTCCTTACTGGTTCCCTGACAGACATTTCTTCCCTAGATTTTTTATTATTGTTCGAGGTCTTTTCCTTCTTATGCATTATTAGTATTTTCATCTGTATGCTATCTATTATGTTTACATTGATCACCTTAACACAATTTTGTTTTTTATTGTTTTCAGTTGGGTCTCCAAGCTGTGATGCACAGGAGGAGTGGATACATAATAACAGTTAAAAGGGCATATAGGGAACACAAGGGTGGGGAGGAGGAGAAAGGGAAGTGTGTTAGCCTGGGTAGACTAGAGAAACAAATTCATTGACACTCATATACAGTATATGTATAAGAGAGAGCTTCATATAAAGAGTAATTGTATATTAAGAAAACATCCCAGCCCAGTCCAGATCAAGTCCTAAATCTGATATTAGCCCATATGTCTGATACTAATGTATAAATTCCTCTTCAGACTCATGCAACATATGCAATGATGCTGAATACAGCAAAATCATAGGCCAGTGGGTGGAAAGTCTTGTGGATCCAGTGGTGGTAGAAGCATCTCAGCATTGGTGTGGGTCCTCACATGGCTCCTCCAGCTCCAGGGCTCTGGCTCTAACAGCATAGCCCTATGTGGCTTGTCAACAGGAATGTCCCCCAGGGAGAGAGAGTGTGTGTCCTGCCTCCAGTGAGCTATTTAGCTCCTTAGTGCCTTCAAAGGATACCATCAAGTTCCACCTTTTCACTCTTAATAGTCTCAAATTGGCAACAGATCATATAACTACCACAGGAGGGAAAGGGGATTTTAGAAGTAACTATTGAAGACCTGGGGTGGGGGGTGTCAGTAGAACAGATTGTCATTGCATAAATCATCTTAAAGGCAAGTTAACTAAGTGGAGGGCCTCTAAAATTGGTATGGGACTAATTGTACAATTCTCCATGATATAACTGAAGAATTGAATTAAATGATAAATTGAATTAAATGCAAGATACTTAACAATAAAACTGTTGGAAAAGAAATATAAAGTTGTTTATAAATGTTGCCCTGGACAACTTACATGAGCCTAAGGTCATTGAAATACATAACTCAGTCTGAATCGTAATTGACTTGATGGCAGTGAGTTTGGTTTTTTTGTTTGGATTGGTTTATTTAGCTTTCTGCGATAAGAACAGCTTCTATTCATCCTCCTAACCTACACGATGTGTCATGAAAATTAAAAGAATAACATTCAGCTTAAGTAACATAAAATTATTTATTAGGAGCAAAAGTTACAAGAAAGGAAAAAGTGGAAACATTAGCCACTCACTCAATTATTCTAACAATATGGAATCTCAATACAGAATACTCTCATCACCTGAGCAGTCTACCACAGGTAGCAGAAACCTGAATTGTAGTACTGTGGAAAAGTGTGCCTTTTTAGGAACAGAAAAGAGATGAGGTAGGTCCTGAGACCACGTTCAACAAACCGGATATAATCCATCAGAAATTACAGTTCTCTTGAAAACATGAACCCAATCCCTAATGTTTGTATCCTCCTACCACATAATTTAGAAACAGAAGCTAATTTTCTAATTGGCATAAATATTTTTACATTTCTTAATAAGACAATGTTTGGCAGCTCTAGAATATAGTGCATTTTAGAGTTCTTAGCAGTGATGGTGTTGGGTGCCTTCAAGTCATTTCCACTTCCTAATGACCCTCTGTGCATCAGAATGAAACCCTGCCCGGTCTTGAGCCATTCGCACCTGCTCCTGTGTTTGAACACGTTGTCGCTGCCCTGATGGCAGTCCACCTCCTTGAGGAGCTTCATCTTTTTTTTTTTTT